AAATAAAGGTGTTATAAAAGTGAAGAAATAGAACTAACTAACAGAGTTGCAAAATATTAAAGTAAATAGGGCGAAAAATTTTTATTTTCTAAAAAATTTTTTGTTTTCAAAAAATTTGGGAGAGAGAGAAAGAGTTTTTTTTTTTATTATATAAAAATGCGTCTAATTATATTTATATATAGTATGAAGCGATCTTTGTAGATCGATTTTTCATTGATCTACTGATCTGATTTTGACGAATTTTAGCTTGTTAAAATCGCCGCACTGAGGAGAATCGGAATCTAGCATTGGTCCGGCCTACTGAAAAAATTTTTCTATACTTAAATTTCATTAAGTAAGAAATTGTGATGTAGATCGCTAAATTGCGCAAAATTGGTCTTAATAATGGCACTTCAAATTTTTACTGAATATTCTCTAGGTTTTGAGGTTTAAAATAAATGCAAAATCATATTCCTAGTATTCGTGGTTGACGAGATATAAGCTTATAACTATGTGCAAATCTGGTTGCATTTCTTTTGCTTACCACTGTAACTGGTTAAAACAGATAATTTGTTAATTAGTTAAAGATTTTCTTTAATCAGTTAAATTATTTAATCTTAACTTGAGCTGAAATTTTAATTTCAACCAGAATTAAGATTTTTGTGATTTCAAATATTTTGCTAGCTCCACCTAAATTTATAGTTCTAAACTAAGTTATATTTAACCAGTTAATTAACTGGTTAAAGAATATTTTAACCAGGTTAAAGATTTTTAAACTAGTTCTAACCTCTAAAAGAAATCATCATTCGTAATATTAAGAGAATATAGTGTAATTTGATAACCTAATTATAAGAAATAATACTACTCAATGACTTGAAATTCTTACTTTTAAAAAATAAAGATACTTACCAATGGCTTGCAAACCGTAAACTTTATATTTGTAACAGCCTTAACAGGAATATCCAAGTGGTCAAGCAAGTGTAAAACAAGGTTAAAATATCACTAGGTAATGACTTTCTTGTATCACCAACTGCATGATTTGTTAATGGTGAACTAGCAACTTCCATATGCCAAATTTCTTTATCATCAAATGATCGGATCCCTTAAGTATTTAAGAAATCATTGTTAAATAATATAAATAACATATTTAAAAATGTTTGAGGTTTATCTTTCGCATCCAACTTGATAATTCTAAAGTTAGAAGATGATTTTGTTAATTTCACTGATAGGGAATAAGATTCAATCCAGTCGATAGTTATATTTCCAAATATTGTTTTATAAAATTTAAAAAGAGAAGATAGATTTTGTACAATATATTTTCTCTTCCCAATTTTTCTTAAAAGAGTAGAAATAATATCTACCAAATTGTAACTAAAGTGAAAAGTAGGAATAAGCATTTATTCATCAAATTTAAAAATGAATAACAAAGACTTACGAATCCATCAATATCTTTTCACAATATAAACAGAGTTTGTTCTCATTGTCTCCATCAATCTTTAGTATAATAACTTCCTTGAAATCCTCTCTTGATTTCTGTAAATGAAAAGAAAAATATTAAGTGTGTTCTAATTTGCTACTAATTAATATCGATAAGAACTTACCTTTAAAGCATTTTTAAGATAGCTTTCAATTTTAGTCCTCATAGGTGGTATCTAAACGTGAATCCAGTTGTATTTCAATGATTGTCTCATTATATCAAGATAACTAATATATAATAAATAAAAATTTACTTGTTCTAGATTATAGACTTATTACAAATATATGGGACTCATCTAATAATCTTCTCATTATCCATTTGTCACTTGTTTAGAATACGAAAGATATTATTTTGCAATTGAGATGATGATATATTTGCTCCATATTCCTAAATTGTAGTAATATGTTATTATGTAAAATAAATTAGAAAATTCGCCTAAATTTTCATTAACTAAATGCTTTAGAAAAAGTTACCATTTCACTAAAATCATTGGCATTATTGGGTAAATTTTCATCTGATATTAAAAAAGGAAGAAAGTTGGTATTGAAAAAAGAAGTGAATGATTTTCACAAAAAGGATTGTCTTCATTATCGTCATTATCACTGCTATTCTATTCATCATATTGCAAAGAATAATTAGTTTGTAAGAATTAAGGTTGCTAGATGAAATCAAGAGTTTAGACAGACGTCTAAATGGTAAAAGTAAAACTTGGTTAGATTATATTTAAATCTTATTAAAAAATTTGCGAAATTTGAAAAAAGGTAAAACTATATCAAAGCTTATAAAAATGGCGAAACTATATCAAA